ACACACACACATGCATACAAACACTCTTCTTTTCTTACCCTCACACCCTCTCTCTTTCTCTTTCTCTTTCTCTCCTCCCTCTGTCTCTCTCTCTCTTTTGAAGAAGTTTTCCATGCAGATCCAAGTCAAACATCTGGGTCAGCTTATATCTACTGGAACAAGACTTGCAGGATATTGTTGGCAGGATGTGTGAGCTGGAGCAGTTTACTCTGTGGGAATCCCCAATACACACACACACAAACAGACACACACATACACACACACACACACACACACACGGAGAGAGACATGGACGCTCTCACACACCAACACACACACTCACAAGTTGCTGACATTGTTTCTCTCTGCACCATTCAACTTGATTTCCAGGTGCAGCAATTTATGCCTGACATGTCGATGAATGCTTGTGCAGCATGAGGGATTTTAAACCACTTTGAAACTAAACACACCACAATTATTAGTTGGTTAAATGCCATGTTTAATATTTTGAAGAATGCATTGGTTATTACCAAAAAGGATTACAAAATAGGCGAAGTAAAGGGGATAAATTATATTCTATTGTTGTCAACACTGAGTACATACAATAATATCATAATCTGTAACTTAATATATGTTCACAAATTATTCATGTGCAAGAAATGCTCAAACATCCTATTGTGCGTTCTGCAAACTTCCTTTCTTTCCAGTGCCTTATTCTGAACTGTTAATATTTGAGTTGAAAGGAGTTGAAATATACCCTGCTCTGTGTGTAAAGTCTCACTGCTTTGAGAACAGTATGACTAGCTCCGGATATGCTGTGGTATGAAAAACAGTTGCAGAGGGAAAACACTACTCCTGCTGAATGCCCTGTGTTCTGTGAACCCTAAAACTATCTGCCCCTCATGTGTAGTTGTAGTTGTTTACAAATTGCATAAGACAGAAATCTCTCCTGATTTACAGCTCATTCCCCTCCTCCCTCCCCCTCCTCCCCTTTCCCCCCCTCCTCTACTCCCTCTTTCCACATCTCTCTCCCACTTTTCTGCCCCCTCTTTTCTCTCTTGCACTGATTCAATCTTTCTTCTCTGCTGAGCCTTCTTTCGGTTTGTCGTCTGATTTGAACTCCAGGAAGAAGTCGTTGCAGGCGACGGTGAGGGCACCCATCAGGATGATGAACTCGGTGAAGTCCACCTCCCCATCGTTGTTGGCGTCCAAGTCGTTCATCACCTTCTCAACTGCTTCATTATCTTTGGAGGTCTGTCAGCAGAGAACACA